TACAGTGTTTGAATTAATGTTGAGAAGTCTTGCTGCTACGGCATCAATAACTGTGATATTTATGAGTACTCCCAGGTCTGAGATTTCTGATGCTGTGTTGGTTGAACTATCTTCTATAAGAGTGCACAGCCATCTTTGATCACCTTCGTTGTGGTGATCTTTTAGTATTCTGAGGTGTTCTATAATTTGCTCCTCCAATGGAATTGCCAGAATTTCTGTCATTATGTCAATTGTATGCAGTTGCGTTGCACATGTTTTGGTTTGGTTGTTTTTCCACTGTTTTTCCGTGACACGTGTTTTTCAGATCTTATTGTTGTTTTGCACATGGAATTTGGTTAAATCTTAATTTTGTACCCTGTAAACAAATGTGTTTGTTTTCTTGTTTGGATTATGGGAAATATGCACACATGTTTGTGTTACTGCTGATCTTTTGGTAGGGTAAACTGGTTTTGATTTTTTGATTCCAATGTAGATCTGTTCACGTGACAAATGTTGTTTATAGTTAGAATTGGTTTTGATCCTTGCTTTTCTTCTAAACACAGTGTTGAGAAAGTCCTGGTACCTCTTTGATTTTGTGTCAGTGACAAGGTCACCTGGTTTACTGGGTGTGATCTGGCTGATACAAGGCCCTACTAGTGTCTAGGGAGGTATCTAACCTGGTACATGATTGGCTAGTGGCTTGTAAGGTGCAGTGCTGACTTTCTCCTTTACCTTACTGTGAATTGTATTTCTTGTTTTTTTCTCTTTCCCAGTGAGAAAAAACAAGTGTATATTTGTTTATATTGAAATGAAAACAAAGGGTTAGTGTTCTTTTGAGTTCAATAATACCTGCTGTGTATGTTCTCCTGATTTCTAGATAGAAACAGTGGAGTGTTTCTTCTTGGTAAGAGGTTTCTTTAGGTATTTCCTTGATGTTTCTGAAGTGTTTTTGTGTTTTTTTTCCAAAAAAGGAAAATTTTGAAAATTTGTGGTTTTTCGGAAAAGAGTTTAAAAATATTATTATTTTTTGATGATTTTGTTTTATCAATATTTGTTAACATATTAAAATTTAAAATTTAAGAATAAAAATTTATGACTCATACTGTATCTTTTGCTTGAAAGTCATCCTTATTCATTATGTCTTATAGAAGTTATTACTCATCTCACTTATTTTGATGAAAAATTCTTTCTGAAAAACTATTGTGGTTTTACAGGAGCATATTTGATTTTTGAAGCATTAAATTTATCAGAATGAAAAATTCTGAGTTTTGCTAGAAAGCAACCTGAAAGTCCTTCATGAAAAAATAAGTTGGCTGTCCTTTTATACTATCTCAGTTTGGGTTTGTGAATTAGAACTTGAAAACAAGAACCTGTATTATCAAGTAGTTTGCTTAGGTCATCTTTTAACTCAGTTGCATATTCAAATTTCTGTCTATTCAATTGAAGTTTTTCATTATGGAACTTTTCTTAAGGTTCTTCTTTGATATTTCTTCCTATACTTGTATCTAGGGCTTCTAATGATACTTAATTTTACTATAACTTTATATAAGTGGATCACAATATACATGTGGTGATAATTATTTTGCTGTTGGCTCAATTGCTAAAATAATTGCATCTGACTCAATTATTTTATATGTTTTAATAGTAACTCAATTAATTGCATCAAATAATTGTGTCAAATTGCATTAATGATCTATTAATTTCTATCTCATATATAGTTTACAACCCATATATTAAATTCTTTATAGATCAATACCCTTTCGATACTACTAAGATACCAGTTTGGTACTTTTCAGAGCCCTACTTGTATCATGGCTTGGAATTATTCACTTATAGAAATGTAGCAGTCACTAAGCAGCTCAGTTGAGTTGGTTGAAATAATTAATGAAAGCCATTATTTTTGTGCTACATTTTTACTTGTTCAAGTTCTTCTTCATTGTTCAATAGCAACAATAGGTTTTAGGCAGTATTGAATGGTGCAGCTGTTATTTTTCCTTTGAGTGTCCTTAGTTTGTAAGCTCCATTTCTTAGAATATTTTGGATGTAATATCTCTTATAGCAATACTTTATCTTCAATTTTAAATAGTCTTTCTTCCTTAATTTTCAGATCATATTGTTTCTTTTGTTTTCTCTGGGTCTTTTGAATATTCTTCTGGACAATTTCTTGATCTTGTGCAAAGTTTTGATCAGGTCAAATAGTTGAATCAACATATTTTATTTTATAATTTAATCTATTGTAATCAAAAATAGTTTGATCATGTATCCAAAGTGAAGGTTTTTAGAAGGATTCAAGATTAGATAGGATTATCCATTATCCCAGAGCTAACCTTAACCAAAGAGAATGAAAATATTCAAAGATTTATTCTTAAAATCTTTATTTATTTTTATTTTATTATTTTTATTATTTTTAAACACCAGCTGGGCCTTGCTTTATCGACTTTTTAATACTTTATACATATCACATTTTTGTGTATTGTATATAGTTTACTATATGTAAATAAAGCCATATCTAAGTAACTTACATATCAGCTTGTTGCTGTTAGCTTGTCCTAGAACAGAGGGTTGAGCTAACATGCCAAGGCTCCATTAGCTTGTATATAATAGTTTTCGATTAAATGAATAAAATTTGTGTTGTGTTCCTGTTTGTTGTTTTGTATTCTGTTGCTAATTAGATACTTACAAATGTGTTCAGTTAGCTGTGTCTGGTTTTTTGGTTAGTTGGTTGTTGTGTATCTTCTTGTGTCTTTCTTTTTCCTGTTTCATTTGTCACTTTGTGTGATCCCTTCTTGTTTTTCCTATTCTGCATTTTTGTGTATCTTTGTTGCCATTATTTGTGTATGATTGTTGTAACTCGTTGTTGTATTTTGGCTATGGCTTTTTTCCATTCTTCTTGTGTACTTTGTTTTATTGTTTTGTAGGGTTCTTTGTTATTATCCCCTTGACTATGTATTCAATGTTGTTTTGTTTGGCAGTAGTGCTTTTCTAAGTTGTGTTTCTAGTTTTTCTGGTTGTTTTTCTTGTGATCTTGAGCTGATTTCTTATGATGCTATCAATATGAATTCATTATATATGTTTTCTTCACTGTGTTCTGTGACATAGTGGACGTTGTCTTTAATTTGGTTGCATCTGTGACAATGGGTTGACTTGTATGTGTGTGGGTTGCATTTGTATAGATTATTTTTGGTTGGCAACTCATTGTTGAGGAGCTTATATTTAAATGCCCTTGTGTTGTGTTCTTCTTGTGATATGGTGTCTGCTGGATACTGATTCTCCCATGTTTCTTGCCATAATATTTGATCTTCTTCTTGTTTGTCCAGCCATTGTATGTATTTGTTTTGTGTATACCATTTGGCTATCCACTTTGCATTGTTAATGTTCTTGATGAATCTGGGAATGTCTGTGTCTAGTGAGAATTCTTTCCATTGTATTGTTGTTATGTTTGTTGCTGTAGGATCTTTGAGGTGTATGATGTGTTGGCTGCTTCTTCCCTTTTTTGCTTCTTGATCTGCTTATTCATTCATGATGTCATTGTTGTGTGCCTTGACTTTGGTAATGGTTATGTTGCCTGTTCTCCTTTTAATCTGTGATTGAATTTGTGCATCTGTGAGGTGGTTAGGTTGTTTTATTTGTATTGTTTTGTTTTTGCCATTTTTTATTGTGTGTATAGCATTGCTGATGTCTGTATGGATGTTGATGTTGGCTGTTGTTGGGATAAGTTTGATTGCTGTGAGGATTGCCATCAGTTCTGCTTTTGTGGAAGACGGGAAGTGTTTGTATCTGGCATTGAATGTTATTTCTTGTTCTGTGTTTCTGTTTTGTATGATGATGCCTATACCCATTTCATATTGTTGTCATCTGTTGGATCCAAAGAGCCATTTGTGTAGATGTTAATATCATTCTATTGTTCTGTAAGCCTCTTTATTTCTTTGATCTTTTCTTTTCCCTAATGTGTGTGAGGTTGTTGTGTATTGAGTTGGGAATTGCTGTATGCATATTAGTTGACCTGTTATGTAGCTGTGGATTTTGGAACTGTTATTTGTTTTCTTGGCTGGAAGGGGATGCATTCGTTTGCTGCTAGTTTTCTGGAGCATCCTGTTTTGCTACCTCATGTATTTAAGTTGCATTCTGTGCATTTTTCAATAGATGAGTATCCTGCTATTTGAATGAAATGTGTTGCTGTGATGTGATTGTTATTTGGTTGATGTTTTGTTGTTCTTTTGCCTATATATATCTGTCCATCTATACTTGTGGCTAGGTATTCTTGATGTTCTGTATTGTGTTAGCAAGTTTGTTGACAGATTGGGAATGGTAATTCTCCTGTCATTTGTGATTATGTTTTCTTGTGTGAGAAAGTTTGTCAATTGGTTGAACCATTTTGGATGTCTACCAATGTACTTGACTTTTTCTTGTGCTTTGAATTGTGTCCATGTAATCATGTGTGTTTGTGTTATATTAGTCACTTGTTCAATGAACATCAGTTTGTGTTTTTTAAGTGACCCTCTATTTTTGATGTACCATTGTTGCGGTGTTTCTTGGCATTTGCAGGGCTGTGTTACTAGGCATTATGTGTATGTCATTTTCTTTGAATAATGTTTGTTAAGGTTTTTTAGATCGTTTGTTATCTTGACTGTAACTGGTTGTATACTCCATACTTGCTCTTGCAGGCTTTGCAATCTTGCTCTTGTTATTTGTCCAATGATGTTGTTGCTGTTGATTTGGTTCATCCAATTTCATGTGTGTAGTTGGAGCATTCTATCATAAATGTGAAACACTTTGTATTCTGTATGAAGGTGAATTCTACTGTTGATGCTTATACATGCTATGTTGATTTTGTTTTTGATTACTGCTATAATTTTCCTGTTCATTTGTTGGCATTCTGTTTCACTCAGTATGATGTTTTGGAGCAGGTATTCTATCACGGGCATTAGGACTTGATTGAGAACATATCTGCATTGTTTGTTTGTAATATGCTTTCTTTTAAGTGTTTTAGTGGTATAGTTGATTTTGTCTTGAGCTGCAACATGAATCGACTACATCTGGCTGTCTCCAAATCCAAACTGGTTCATACTGGAGGCACACATTATACCATCAGAGTGTATTTCCAATAGTGACACAACATTACTACATGCACAATACACACACCTATAGGAGAAGATCAAATAATACCACACAACACATCTCTCAAAACAAATGCATTCAATACTAAAGAAACAAAGGCAAAGCAATGAAAGCTATTCCAAGAGAATCTGGACAAGGAAATAGAACTGCAAGAAGATTTACACAACACTCTGGAACATCACCTGGAATAGTATTTGTACAACAGCAAAAAGATACATCAAGAAAGCCAACCCAAAAAAGACCCCATACACAAGCAAACAAAAAAACCACTTCCAACCACACAATCCCAACCGAAACATTGGCTCAGTTTATAACCTTGGAAAACTTGTACACCTAGCCAATTCATACATTAAAAGAAAAAAAAATCAAATACAATAGTTAAAAAAATTAACAAAATGACAAAATCCCTACAAAACAAAACATACCCATAACAAACTTCCCCCTCCAGGAAAGCATCAACCAAAAAACAAGATGGCTGGAAGAAGTAAAAGACCTATGGCAAGCAATAAAATAAATCAAAGAAGCCACCCAAAAAAGAATGGATCAATACTCAGAATCCAAAAAGAAAATAATTAACAGCATACTATCACAAGAACACAAAACAATGAAATGAACACAATCATCATCAAAAATCCAGAAACAACCATCATTACAGAACCAAAAGAAATCAAAGAACTGGCAAAAAAGCACTTCAGTTACCAACCAGTATATCACAACTCGTCACAAATCCCCACAGAATGGCAAAAAGAATACAAGCCAAGGGACAACATACAAGAAGGCTGGTATACAGCAGTACTACAAAAAATACAACCATCAGAGGTCAGAAAAACCATTGCCAAAACAAGCAAAAACTCAGCTCCTGGCCCATTAGCAATAAACTATGACATACTTAAACATTTGGGAGACAAAACTATACAAAGAATATTGCACATCTTCAACAAAATTCTGGATACAACCTTAATTCCAACACAGTGGCAACACAACCTGGTATACCCAATTCCCAAGAAAACAAACTGGCAACATGACCTCAATCACACCCACCTGATCGTCCTAATGGAAACAATTAAAAAAATCTTTACAAAAATTATCAATAACAGGCTTGCAAAGGTCTTAACTCAACACCTAATCCTCTTATCTCTCAACTGGGCAGGCCTGCCAGGAGGCGGCACAAATAAATCCATCTTAATAATAAATTATATTCTGGAAGATGCAAGACAGAACCAAAAAGAATGCTGGCTAATCAACCAAGACATTAGCAAAGCATATGACTCAATTAAACACAGCTTCTTGAAAAAAGCATTGCATAGAATCAAAACTCCAGAAAAAGTAATCAAGATTATACTAAACCTTAACACAGACCACAAAAACAGAGTAATCACATGTCATGGGTTAACAGATGAATACTCTCCAACCAATGGCATAGACCAAGGCAATACAATCTCTTCACTACTTTGGCGCATATACTACAATTCCTTGATCTCCAAAATAAGTGAACTCAATATAGGATATAAACTACACAACACAAGGCACAATCAGTGGCTAGAAACAGTCAGAGACCTTTCAAGTCCAAATACCTGTGGTGACATATATGGATAATGCAACATGGATTACAATGAACAAGAACAATGGACAAAAGATACAAAACATCACAGATGCATTTGCCCAGTTCACAAATCTGAAACTCAACCCTGATAAGTCAACATTACTGACAGTCAACAACACAGAAGAAGTGACATTGGAATCTGTATGTGTCTATGTGGCCCAGTTGTGTGAGTGTATGGAGGATTGAGTTTGTAGGTCATGTTTTACAGTTGGCTTTTGAGTGGTGGAGTTTGTCAAGTTTTGGGTTTGCAAAGTCTTCCAGTATAATGGTAAGGAAGTCTTTGTTGTTTTTTTCCCAGATTCTTTGGTTTGTCCAACTTAAAAATTGTTTGTGGTTGTTGCTGAGAGATGCTGGAACATATATTTCAATAATACTGATAGGTCTATACAGATACCTCTTCCTGGAAACTTGTCTATGCCACCTATGTGTTGTGCAATTTCTGTTTTGAGCATGATAATAATTACCGCTCCTTTGTTATCTTCCAATGCAAAGCTTTGGTAGCCTGGAACCTTCCAATGCTTGCTGAAGTCATTTGTAATTTGTGTTTCTGTAATCATAGCTATGTCCACCTTGTTGTCTGTACAATATTTTTGCCATAGCACTTTTTTAAGGGGGTTGTTGAATCCTCTTGTATTGTGTGTTACTATGTGCCATTTGTGCTGTGTGCAAGCTGGTGGTTGTTCAAGTGAATCTGTTCTGTTGTTGCTGATGTTCTCTAATATTGCTGGTGCTATCATTTAATTTCTTGTGTCTTGTGTGGTTTGATATATGTATGGTTGGTATCTTCTTGTAATGTTTCTGAGTCTGACCATGAGAAGGTGTTGTTGAGTTGTTCATCTGTGGTTAAATTTAGTGTTGTGGTATTCATGTCATTGCTTGAACTGTTGTTTTCTAGGGCTGAAGAGATATATCACTGGTTGTATTTCCCATCTGATTTGTGTTGTTCTTTTGCCTATATATATCTGTCCATCTATACTTGTGGCTAGGTATTCTTGATGTTCTGTATTGTGTTAGC